TTTATAAAGAAGTTCAGTGACACAGGTCTAGTGAATGGGAGGTCCAAAGGCATTACAGAATGACAGAAGCCAGAACCTTGAGCAGAATGGAGTTTGGCCTGCATCCACACAGCCTGCACTTGCCTCAGTTCTTCTGCTTATAAACCTACCAGGACTATGACCAGTAGGTGGCATGGAAGTCAAGGTGCTGGATTTCACATGGCCAACTGCACAGTTCAAGTCCTGGACCCAGCAGCTTGAAAATCATTCTAGGCACATGTGTGAGCATGCCCCAAATCCGGAAAGGAAAGCAGAGGAGAAGGGATTGCAGTGTGGCCATCCTCCCTGGGAAGTGATTTTTCACTTTCCCCCTCTCTCTCTGGGGAGCACATGCTCCCTAAAGCAAAGTTAAAAAATTAAAAAGTAAAACCTACCTGGACTCAATTATGGGAGCACACCCTAACCACCCAATCACTAAGGTCCTCTTCAAAGCTCCACTTTTTTTTTTTTTTTTTTTTGAGAGATTTTCGCTATAGGGCGCGTGCGCTCGCCAGACAGACAGAGAGAGACATAGAGACAGAAAGCGAGAAATCACCCCCCAGGGGGGATGGTCACGCCGCAATCCCTTCTCCTCCATTCTCCTCTCGGGATCTTGGGCACGCACGCACATGCGCCCGGCGTGAGTTTTAAGCCACCGGGTCCGGTACGCGAACCGCGGTCGACTACGTGGGAATCCAGCGACATAGCCATTACGCTAACTGCTGGTTCCCCAAAGCTCCACTTTTTGACATCGTAATTCACTTACCATCTTTATAATATAATCAAGCCTCAAAACATGAATTGCGGAGAGGAGGGTACAGAGAACAGCCAAACCAACACTTTGACTTTCTCTTAACTAATGTCCTCTATTCCCCAACCCCTACCCCATGCCATCAGTCAACTGCTCATCTGGCTACCCTAACATTTTATGCACAAGTGATGGGACAGTATTCCAAGATATGGAATACAAGTATTCCAAGATCTGGAAAAAGAGGTTGCATTTTCCCTCTGCAACCTCTTTTTTTCTCATTTCCCAGTCCTCTATTCAAACCACCAGTCTTTTTACACTAATATTTCAAGAAAAGGATGTGACAACAGGAAGAGAAAAAAACAGGAGACTGTTTCTGGCTCTTTGGTTTCAAAAACCCAGGCTCTTAGGGAATCAGAAAGAAGTTACAGATTTGAACTGGGGTGCAGGGTTAACATAGGAAGGATCGTGAGGGATTGTGGCACCTGTAGTCTAAGAGCCAAACTACACTAGCATCAGCCAACCACTGCCTTGTAGGCCTTTGGGACCACTGCTTTCAGAGCCTCTTACTGTTTAAGATAAACTATAAACCAAACAGGATTAAAGTAAACATAAATATCAAATTCAATAAACAATATCAAATTGTTTAATATTCAAATAATATTATGGCAGTTTGAAAATCACACCAGGCACTTGTGCATGTGTGCCCCAAGCCCCAAGGAGACTGGAGGAGAAGGGGTTACGGTGAGGCCATCTCCCCTGGGGGTGATTTCTCACTTTCCCCTCTCTCTCCTTCTGGTGACCACATGTGTCCTATAGCAAAACATTTAAAAAAAAAAAAAAGTGAGTTCCCAAGGGATGTTTCAAAGAATGAGAATCCTTCCTCGTGCTGCATTTAAAAAAAATTATTTACTTGATTTTACTTAGTATTATTTCTTAATTTTTCTATAGGGCATGCATGCTCACCAGAGAGAGAGAGAAAGAGAGAGAGAAAGTGAGAAAGCAAGTTGCCAGGTCCAGAACTCAAACCACGGCCGTGTGGGAGTCCAGCGCCTCAACCACCATGTCCCTGCTGGCCTCACTGCCGTATTTTTTTCCTGTCAAATGATTTATTTAACAGAAATTTACTCAGGAACAAACGATGGCTTGGAATCTAGGACTACAAGGACAAATAAGATGACTTCTGGTCCAGGAGCTCACCATCTGAAGGAGAACTAGACACATAAAACAGGAAATTATGGGACTGAGTGATAAATCTTATGTTAGAGCAGCAATTACCAAGGTGTGATCATTCAACTAGCAGCAGCAGCTGGGAACTTATTAGAAATGCAAATTTGTAGGCCCATCCCAATTTATGATGAGAACGCTGGAATTCTTTTCACAAGTTCGCTAACAGATTTTGAGATGCACTACAGTTGGAGAACTTCTTTGCTAGGTGAAAGCGGAGAGGACTTTGGAGCAGAGAGCCAATGCACCTGAACCAACCTTGAGACACTGCCATCTAAAAATCACTTTCAGTCTCTTCCAGGCTAGATTCTAAATAGGTTGCTCTCTGGTAACACAGGAAAATATGCATGTTTCTTGGTTCCGTAAGTAAATTTTAAAAACATCAAAGGTGGGCTGATTTGTTACTGATTATTTTTCTTTATTCCTTTCACAAGTCAACAGAATACTTAGAAGATGCAAACACTGAAATGTAAGTAGGTAATTCAGAAATTAACTAACTTGGTGCAAGGGTTATACATTATGGGAAGAAATTGGAAAAGTGCAGATGGACCCTGATTTCTAATGATTTGACTTACAATTTTTCACCTTTATTAGATGCAATATACATTTGGTAGAAACTACTTTGAGTTATACATGCAAACATTTTGTTTTTCACTTTCAGTACAGTATTTATTACATGAGATATTCTATATTTTATTATAAAACAGGCTTTGCATTAGGTGATTTTGCCCAACTGTTGTCTAATATAAGTGTTCTGAGCACATATTAGGTAAGCTTGACTAAGCTATTTGGTAGGTATATTAAATGCATATTTGATTTATAATATTTTCAACATAATAGGTTTATCAGTACATAAGGTTACTATAAGAGAAACATCTCTATATATTGACAAATTTTCATAACATTTTTATGATGCTAAAATATACATGAAACTTATCATTTTAACCATTAAAATAGTGTACAGTTGGATAGCACTAAGTACATTCAGTGTTCACAATCATCACCACCATCCATCCTCAGGACTTTTGGACCTTTGCAAACTGAAACTGTATCCATTAAGCAATTACTGGTATCTTTTGCTTTGCCTTTTCCAATGGGATGTTTTTCTATTAATTAGTATAAACTCATTTTAAATTAGGGAGACCAACCCTTTGTCTTCTGCCAACTTGTGGTTTCACTTTTTTTTTTTTTTTAATTGCAAGCGGGCATAATGTGCTTACCAGAGACAGAGAATGAGAGAAAATAACCCGACTGGACATGGCCAATCACAGCTCCTTCTCCTCCACGGCTCCATCCTCTGGGGACGCGGACGCACATCCACATCCAGCATACTTCTCAGGTTGCTGGCCTGAGACTCAAACCGCAGTGGGCCATGTGGGGTTCGGCTCTCTTAGGCACAAAGCCACAGGCTGACCTGAATTTGTGTTTTTAAAAGATTATTCATGGTGATTTTTAAAAATTTGTTCAGAAAAGCTTTTTTTTTTTCCCCTTGTGTAACCATAAAACATAAAATATAGAAAATATTTAGAATATTATCAAATCCTCTATGATTTCTCTGTTGTCATCCTTGAAGGCCATCACCACCTAAATATCATGAATATATTCACTTACATTGTCTTCTAATGTTTTATTAACACTTAAGTATTTAGTCCATACAGGGTTTACCTCTTTATTTTTTTCCTCAAATGCTTAGACAGTTGTTCCAACATCATTTACTAGATAGGCTAACTTTCCCGATTCAAATGTCACCTGTTCATATGAAATTTCTCTATTCCATGCTATTTGCTTTTAGAACTTTCATCTGTACTTTGATGATAAAAGTCTTAATTACCATGCTGTTGTGCCCTACTTTCTAGCGTTAATTCCTCCCTATTTTATGGTCATTTTGATGGTTCTATACAATTTCACACACATACCATCATTCCATTAATCCCCTATTACCTATGCATTTGGGAAGTTTCCTTTTGCATGCTAAATATGCAAGACTTTAAACTAAATTAAATGAATTATTTGCCTCGGTGGTTCAAGTTGTGCAAATTATCATTGACATCTTTTTTCAAATTACTTTTAAAATTACAATGACTAGGGGGCAGGCAGGTGGCACAGCGGGTAAGGGCGTCAGACTCCCACATAGCCAACCACGGTTAGAGTCCCAGGTCTGTTGGCTTGTTTCCTCACTTTTGGGGCCAGCAGTTGGCATAATGGCTATGTCGTTGGACGCCCATGTAGTCAACCGAGGTTAGAATCCCGGACCGGTGGCTTAAACTCAGGCCGGGCACGTGTGCGTGTGTGCCCAAGATCCCGAGAGAATGGAGTTGAAAGGATTGCATTGTGGCCATCCTCCCTGGGGGATGATTTCTCGCCTTCTCTCTCTCTCTTTATGGCGAACGCACGCGCCCTATGGCAAAAACCTCTCAAAAAAAAAAAAAACCCAAAAAACATTACAACGACCAGGTTTCATTAGTCTTATTATAGAAATGTCAATAAACGTGTCCACCGGAGTTCAGGATTAACCAGGCGACACCTCCGAATTACACCAGGAGGCGCTGTTTCCTGGTTTCACCTCGGCCACATCCGGGTTTCGCCGCAGATACACACACTACCGAGCCGACGGAACCTTTCGGTCGCGCATCCAGTTAACGTGCGCATCGGGGACAGTTTAGGCCTTTGCGCACCGCTCTCTGCGCGTGCAGCAGTTTGCTAGGAGGAGCGAAGGCGAGCGTTTAGGTTCTGTCTGCTGCTTCTTTCGTTTTGAGCGGCATGGACGTGCTAGCGGAGGAGTTCGGAAACCTGACTCCGGAGCAGCTGGCTGCACCGATCCCGACTGTGGAGGTGAGTGCCGGGCTCGCGGGGAGCGGAAGGGGCCGGGACGCGTCCTGGAAGGCGTTGCCGGGGAGCTCTGGCTGAAGAGGGAGGTGGGCCGACAACTTCTGCGCATGCGCAGCGCATGCTCCGAGACCTGCGCGTGAGCGTCCTCCCCTTGCGTGCCTCCGCGGGCACGTGGAAAGGCTGAGGCCACGGGAGCTGTCATCCGCTGCAGGATGCCCGGGAAGCCCCGCAGTGGCCCTCGGGTTGGAACCCTTCTGTAACAGTATAGATGTGCATCAGGGAGGGTTGGTCCTCGTTCCCGCCGAGAGAGGCTTTGCGTCCTTTCCGGCTTATGTGGGGGACGGCACTGAGGCCCAGGGAGCTTAGACCGCTTTGCTGAGGTCCCACGTGGAGCTGACTGGTGGTAAAACCAAATCATCCGAATCCCAGTCTAGTAAGCCTTCCCTTTTACCTGGAGTTCAGGTTTGGACTGCAGGGCTATTTTAAACGTTCCGAGTATTTACTCAAAAATTGGTCTGTGTGTTTTCTGGGGAGAAGCCACACAGCTTTCATCAGATTGGCAGAGTTAAGGGTAACTGCCTTGCAGTGAGCTGCCCAGAAGAGTACAGCTGTTGACAGTTTCTTTTCTGGAAAGGCACGTGCTGTCAATATAACCTTTCTTAGCCTCAACATTTTCTTTGGTGTGGAAGTGGAGAAAGGAGACTGGAGAAGGTAAGGGAGAGACTTTAGGTAGAACAGATACTTGAAACCACCCCCCACCCCCCCACGCACACCCGGGCAAGACCATCTGCTATTTTTTGTTGTTGTTGGAGAGGGTTTGTTTTTTTTTTGCTATAGATTGCGCGCGCTCGCCAGAAAGAGAGAGATACAGAGAGATAGAAAGCAAGAAATCACCCCCCAGGGGGGATGGCCACGCTGCAATCCCTTCTCCATTCTCCTCTCGGGATCTTGGGCACGCACGCACACGCGCTCTGCGTGAGTTTAAGCCATCGGGTCCGGAACTCGAACCACGGTCGACTACATGGGAATTCAGCGACATAGCCATTACGCCAACTGCTAGTACCCACCTCATTTGCTATTTTTAAGGAACTAAAATAAGTCCAGTAGTACTAGAGTGAAGAAAAATAGGGTCCTGATCATGGAAGGTTTTGTGAGACATCTGAGGGAAGTAGGCCTTTCTGCTGCAGTGAGGTGCTTTTCAAGGGTGTAAGCAGAAGAATGGCATCAGAAAATTGGATTTTAAGAACCTCCTTATAGTTTGGCATCTTAATGAAGTCGAATTATAATCAATTCATCAGAGTTCATCTATGAGTACATAGACTATACTGTTGATCTTCAGGCAATACAGGATTTTAACCTTGAAGAGTTAATTTTAAGAGCTGGCATTTACTGATCATGTACTATGTACCGGCCTCTTTTTAGCCATGCATGCATTATTTATTTATAAATTTTTAAAAATAATATTTAATTTTATTAGGTTTTTTTGTTTGTTTTTTTAAATTTGCTATAGGGCACATGGTCTCACTGAGAAACAGAGAGAGAGAGTGAAAAAGCAAGCTGCCAGGTCCGAGATTCAAACCATTGTCGATCATGTGGGAGTCCAGTACCCCAACTACTACACTATCTGCTGGCCCGTCATTATGTTACTTAATCTTCTGAAATAAGTACCACTTCCTGTCCCCATTTTGCCAGAGAGACCCAGAGTTAACTACCCCTATGGTAAAAGGCTGATAAGCAGTTCATCCAGAATTTGGATTCTGTCTGTCCGACTCCAAAGTCTTCATCTTGAACTGTTTATTGGACTGCTTTTCAGAGAGCCAAGACAATAAGCCTGGAAGACTTATTTCTTAGCTGAGTTTGCACAGCTGTGCAGAAACCAGAATCACAGTTCCAGCCTTCTGATTCAGGGATGATAGTATCTCTACCTGCATCCAGTCCACCGTCACATCTGCCTTCTAAATATAGGCAAATCTGAAGCTTCATCCCCTTGTTTTCCAACTCAGAACCACTGTTAACTCTTACATTCTTACTGGCCTACCTGGTTTTTGACTTGGCCCACTCCAGTGTACTGTAGCAGGAGTCATTTGCTCAAATACACCACTATAGTTATGTTGCTCCCTTAATTAAAAGTCTTCAATCTCTGCCCATTGTTCCTATGATAAAATCTCAAATCTTTACCATGTTTATGTTTATATTCATATTTCCTCAGTCCAGCCACTGCTTCCTTCTCTAGTTTCTTTTCTTAGCAACAGCCCCTTCCACCCTGAGATTTTTCTACTATCTGTCAGATTTCATCTTAGCAGATTAGATGCCATACAAGCAAAGAGGCTATCATGGTTGACTGCTTATAACTCAGGAGTGTGTAGGCAGCACAGCCAAGAATTCAAGGAGTATAAGAGTTTGAAGTTGTTTGAGGTAGGAGGTGAACAACACATGTGCCTTCCTCATGCACCCCAAGATGATTTCTGACCAGGTACCAGTTAGGAGAGCCTGAGAGGGAGGGAAAAAAATCTCCCTTTGGGTCATGAGACCCAGATCCTCCACCAGGTGGGACCAGTAGATGGCATAATGGTTACGTTGCTGGATTCCCATGTAGTCAACCATGGTTCCAGTCCTGGACCTGGTGGCTTAAAACTCATGCTGGGCGCATGTGCATGTATGCCCAGAATCCTGAGAGTAGAATGGAGGAGAAGGGGGGTGATTTCTCACTTTCTTCTCTCTGTTTCTCTCTGTATCTCTGACGAGTGCACATACCCAAATAGCAATAATTTCTTTAAAAAAAAATAAACAGGGACTAGCAGATGGCATAATGGTTATGTTGCTAGACTCCCATGTAGTTGACCACAGTTTGAGTCCTAGACCTGGTGGCTTAAAACTCATTCTGGGTGCATATGCGAGCATGCCCCACAATTCTGAAAGGAGAATGGAGGAGAGGGGATTGCAGCGTAGCCCATCCCCTCACCCCCGCCACCGCGGGGTGATTTCTCACTTTCTGCCTCCCTGTCACTCTCATTGTCTCTCTGGTGAGCACACATGCCCTATAGCAAAAAAATCTCTACAAACAAATACATAGATTCTCTACTAGACTCTCTCAGACTTGATTTTTTTTTTCTTATTGTAAGTTATTTATTGTAAGATAATTTACAAATATCTTGCTGTCTTTAATAATTCGAAGGACCAACAATTTCTTCTGACAAAGACAGCAGTAAGATAAAACCCAAATCAGCTGGCTCAATTTTCCTTTTTTTCACCTCTTATCTGAAGGATTCTTGCTGGCGTTGTCCATAGCTGTCATCCTGGCACTCTGCTCACTGGTAGTGGACTCCTTCAGAGAGTAGTAAATGATGTTAGCCAGATTATATTCTTGGTAATTCTGCAGCACATCGGCATCGACGTCATCATAGATACTCATACTTTCAGCACTTGCAATGGTAATAAGGGAAAAGATGGGTTTTTCTTCTGTCTTATAGTAGATAACAGACCTGAATCGATTAAAAATGATAGAGCCTTCATCAAACTCATATCCAGAATTCAGTAACTCAAGGGCAATGACAGATGCATCTCCAAAAGTAGGAGGCTTTCTTCCCACTTCTTTGAATGTCACCAGAAACTGGTCAGAATGAGTCCTATAAAGTATGCCCCTGATTTTATCACCAATTCCAATGAGCATAACTTATTTTCCTGCTGCACTGAGAGCAGCCACCTCACTTTTCATCTGTTTAGCAACTGAGGAATGAATAGCACCACAAAGTCCTCGATCTGAGGACACACCAATAAGGAGGTGTTTCTTCTTGTCTTCAGGCACTTTAATATCAGCTTTCTCATACAGAGCCAAAGATCCTATCCCATACACGCGAGCAGGCTTCAGCTCCCTTTCAGCCCGGGCATATTTTGCTGCTGCTACCATTTTCATGGACTTGGTAATTTTCTGGATGTTTTTGATGGACTTTAGTCGCCTGGTAATATCTTTCAAAGTTGCCATATTTCGGACTTGGATCCATTGTGGCTGCAGGGCCCAGGCCGACAGGCCAGCGACGCTCGCCCGAGAAAACATGGTGACACCGGCCTTGCTGAAGGTCGGGCAGACGGGCGTCCTCTCAGACTTGATTTTTCTAACTGGCAAACTTTGCATTACTCAGAGTCATGAAAATGTAATAGAAGTATAAAAAGTACTTAGAATCTCAAGGTATTAAGATGAGATTATATTTCACCTAAGAAATCTGTGGTATATGTGTGTGTAGACATATCCACTTAAGAAATTCGTGGCATATGTGTGTGTAGACATATATTTACATGTACATATATGCATACATATATGATTCCTGTAGAAGTGGTTATTATTTAAAATTTTTTTAAGTTATGTTTTTTGTTCTGATTCACTTTATTTGCTCATTATGATAGTCATTTTGATACATTAAATAATTTCTAATGAAAGTATTGTGATTTCTGGTATAAAATCCTGATATTTTTATTGTTTTGGTTCACAGGAAAAATGGAGGTTGCTTCCAGCATTTTTAAAGGTAATTGTTTAACATTCACTAATAATTGATTGTCTTCCAGGTGATAAAAGAAAAGAAATAGCCATTTTTTAAGATTAATTTTTATCACCAAGAATTTTCTTTACTTTATATCACTGTGTACATTACCAGGTTTTGGAAATACAAGGAATTATAAGGCAACAGTCTCTCTGTAAAAGGTGCTGTTTGGGGTAGTGGTAGGCTAATTTTAGAGAGGAAGTAGTATACCAAGTCTATGGCATGGAAATAATAAAAAACAAAGAGTTGCTGGCCGAAGAGTGATGCCTCAGGTGATTAGAGTGCTGCCCAGAGGCGACGGGACATAAACCACAGGTAAGAGAAGATTTAACTAAGCTGAAGGGCGGGATGTTGAGAGCATGGCTTAACCAATGTGCTCAAGAGGAACCTCCATGAGGTCTGTAGGAAACAGACTATCTCTTCAACTGGAATGCTTAGGTGGGTAGTCAGGGGAGCTGCTAAATCTGATCTAATCTAAAATAACATGGGGCTTTTCATTCAGTTTGAAAGAGCTTATGCTTAGAAGTAGTGGGTACCATAATGGAGATTATTTGACACTTCCTAGAATGGCTATAATCAAAAAGTCAAACAGAGGGGCCAACAGATGGCATGGTGGTTAAGGGTGCTGGACTCCCACATGGCCAAAAAAGAAAAAGTTATCTTTATTTATTTATTTTAATTTGACCAGAGAAGGGCAGAGTTAGAGCAAGAGAGAGAGGGAAAGTGAGGAAGCAAGCCTCCGGGTTTGGACTCGAACTGCTGTTGGTCATGTGGGAGTTCACTACCCTTAACCACCATGCCACCCGCCAGCCCCTAAATAAAATAATTCTTAAAAAAAAAAAAAAAAAGAAAAGAAAGTGAAATGGAGAGGATGCAGAGAAATTGAAACCCTCCTGCTCTCCTGGTAAGAATGTAAAACGCAGCTGTGGTTAAATAGGAAGTTACTGTATAATCTAGCAGTTCTGCTCCTAAGTATCAACTCAACAAAAATGGAACTTGTTTACAAGTGTTCCTAGCAGCATGATTCATTATAGCCCCACGTGGACGTCATCTGATGAAGGGATGAGTAAGATATGACATATCCATATAGTGGAATACTATTGATAATAATAAAAAGAAAAGAAAAAGCAATTATAATAAAAAAAATCAAGTACTAATATATACAGCAACATGGACTCTTGAAGACATTATTCTAAATGAAAGAATAGAGACTTGAAAAACAAGTTGAGTTTTGTCCAGTTAAGTGAAATGTTCTAAGCAGAGGGGAGAAGGCTGGAAAATGAGGGTGGGGAAGCTGTTGGGGCCAGATTGCTGATCAAATTTGAAAACCAAGCTAAGGATTTGACTTTTCTTCTAATACTTTTAAGAAGCTATTGGGTTTTTAAGTAGGGCAGTGACCAAGAATGAAATAAAAATGGTAGTAAGATCAAGAGGAGGGTTTTTTTAATTTGTTTTGTTTTTGATGGAACTGTACATAAATAGAGAAGGGATGATGTTTACTCATCGAAAGAGGAGTTGGGATCAGCAGATGGTGTAATGGTTGGGTTGCTGGACTCCCATGTAGTCGAATGCAGTCTGAGTCCCAGACCCAGAAGCTTAAAACTCACACTGGGTGCGTGTGCATGCATGCCCAAAATCCTGAGAGAAGAACAGAGAAGAAGGGATTGCGGCATGGCCATCCCCTCTGGTGGGCGATTTCTCGTTTTCTGTCTCTCTCTGTCTTTCTGGCGAGCGCACGTGCCCTATAGCATAAACCTCTACCAAAAACAAGAGAGGAAGAAGACAGTTGTTGGCACACAATCCAAGAAGAGATCGAGAACTCTGTCGAGACATAAGCCTGGGGTTATTGCATCCATTCATTTAAAGCCAGCATTCTCTTTACTCAGACCATCTTGAAATATACTTTGTCCACAAATATAAAGATTTTAATATGTAACTGAAGACAATGCAAAACTTCTAGGCTGCTTGCTATCGCCACCAGTTGACTAGTAAGGTGGTGAAGAAATAAAATGAGGATACATTAATGAAAACTTTTCCTAAATAAAATCTGTGGATTTTTATTTTTGTCACTTTAGTCGTAAGAAAAATATGTTGGTCATCTATGATTAGTCTGTTATCTTTATTTTGTTGCTAACCTACTTTTTACTTTTTATTTGTTTAGGTGAAAGGCCTTGTGAAACAGCATATAGATTCATTTAACTATTTCATTAATGTAGAGGTAAGCAATGGATCTTAGAAATAAATGTGAGCTAAGAATTCTCTGGAAGCCAGAGTCTTTCCTAATGGTACCCTTTCTGCTGCAGATAAAGAAGATCATGAAAGCCAATGAAAAGGTCACGAGCGATGCAGACCCCATGTGGTACTTAAAGTAAGGAGCTAACTACTCTGAAGTTGTTGTCTGGGTCACACCTAACATTTTCCAAAATGAGTGTAGTTGCTGTCCAGACTTATAAAATGATTCTTTTATATGTTTCATAAAAACTGCTTGACTTTAGGACCAGCAGTTGGCGTAATGGCTATGTCGCTGGACTCCCATGTAGTCAGCAGTGGTTTGAGTCCTGGACCCGGTGGCTTAAACTCATGCCGGGCGCATGTGTGTGCATGCTCAAGATCCCGAGAGGAGAATGGAGGAGAAGGGATTGCGGCGTGGCCATCCCCCATAGGGGTGATTTCTTACTTTCTGTTTCTCTCTGTCTTTCTGGCAAGTGCATGCACCCTATAGCAAAAACCTCTCCAAAATAAATAAATAAATAAGTAAATAAATAAAAGCCTGCTCAACTTTGACTCTTAATTGGTAAACTAACAATGACCAAGTAGAATTGCAGTTGAACAATTATTGAAACTATTAGGTTTTAAATATTTTAATCAAATTTTATTTTAAAATAATTTTAGATTTCAGAAAAATTGCAAAAATAGTGCAAAGGACTCCCATATAGTCTTCACCCAGCTTTTGCTGATATTAATACCTTATATAATCGTAGCACAGTGATCGAAACCAGGCAGTTAGCATCAATACAGTACCATTAATCAATCTGTAGACATTCTGTAATGTTCTTTCTCTGGTCCATGAGTCTTCCCAGGACCCCACATTATGTTAGTCTTTTTTCTTAAATCCCCTCCATCTATGGTAGTTTTTCTTGGTCTTTCATGACCTTGATACTTTTGAACAATCTGGTCATTTCTTTAGAAGTTCCTTCATTTTGGGTTTGTTTCATATTTGCTCATGGTTAGATTAGTTTATACATTTTTGGCAAGAATGCCAAAGAGGCTATTTTGTGCTATTCTCACTGATTTATATTGGATGATATAGATGGTATATTTTATTACTCTGATTTTAACTTTTTTCTTTTGTAATGCGTATCTTAAAGATCCTTTAAGATTGTACGGATACCTTATTTGTCATAATTCCACTACTAATTTTTGAAAAAAAATTTGATAGTTCTTACCTATAATAGTTATTGTTGTGATGTTTATCTAATGGTGAGTTTCTGTTTCCATCATTCCTTCTATATTAGTATTGGAATTCTCCTGCATGGATGAGTTTTCCCTTTCCCTCTTTTTTTATTTTTTATTTTTTATTTTTTTTATTTTGTTATAGGGCATGTATGTTAGCCAGAAAGAGATAGAGAGGGAAAGTGAGAAATCACCCTCCAAGGGGGGAATGACCACACCACAGTCCCTTCTCTTCTATTCTCCTCCTGAAATTTTGGGCGTAAGCACACGTTTGGCATGTCTTTTGAACCACTGAGTTTGGTACTTGAGACGCAGCCTTGTGGAAGCCAGTGCCTTAATCTCCACACCACTTCTTGGCCCTGTCTATATATTGATCTATTATCAAGTTGGATTTATGGATATTTATTTTGTTCTCTGGGATATAATCCAGTGCTGCCGTTATTTTATTGCCTTTCTGGTGTTCCTACTTTGGCCACTGGGAATTCCTTCAAGTTGCCTCCTATGTCCTTTCAACCTGCCCCCAATATTTTCAAGCAGTCCTTGACTTTCCTGTATCATGACATGTGGTTTATCTAGTATTTTTCTGTCTCAGCCTGGAAATCAACTATTTTTCCAAGGAGCTCTATCCTTTTCATTAGAAAATAATATTTAGGAACCAAGGTAAGGATACTAAGGTTCCAGTGGCCAGAGCTATATATATATATATATGTATGTATTAGCTTGTACACTAACACTTATAAAGACCCACTACACCTGTATTTCTGTATCCCGTCAGTTTTTACATACACTGGAAACCATGGTACCAGCTTCATGGCCTGGTGGTTAAGGCAGCCAAATCCCACTTGGCCAACATCACAGGGCGAGACCCCGACCTGGCAGCTTGAGCAACATGCCAGGCACGTGTGTGTTACGCATGCCCCAAATCCCAAAAGGTGGGAGGGATGGAGGAAAAGAGATTATAGTGTGATCAGTGGGAAGTACTTTTTTCTCTCCTCTCTCTGGCAAGTACATGCACCTTCTAGCAAAATGAAAAGGAAAAAAGTTAAGAAAAAAAAAAAAAACAAGAAACAAACAAAAAAAACCTGGGCCAGTAGGTGACATGGAGATTAAGGAATTGGCTCCCAGAAGGCCAACTGCACAGTTAATTTCTGACCCCATAGCTTCAAAATCACTCCAGGCACCTGTGTGTGTGCACACGTGCGCGTGTGTGCACCTTTTCTCCAAATCCTGAAAGGATACTGGGGGAGAAGGGATTGCAGCATTGGCCATGCCCCCTGGGGATTGCCTCCCATCTAATCCAACACTATAGGACTCATTCCAACCTTTTTCCTTTCCTTATTTATAACTTCTGTTCCTGATACTGAGAAACCTGGCTCTCATTATCCACACTGTATTTTTTTTTTTCATTCCTAGATTGTAATAAAGTAGTTTCAGAATTATTAATTCAGACCTCTGAGAGTAAAATTTACTATTATGGTGTACAGTATTTTTGCCCTGCCCTTTTTTTGTCCTTAGCCTAATAGTACTCAAGCAAAATACTCTTTTTCAAAGTTACTTTTTTTCTTTCCCACCTTTTCAGTGTAGCTGTTAGTCCTTCGCAGTAATGCATTAAGGTTTGTATTCCATTCTGGGTCTCCCAACATCCTGGCTGATTTTAATTATACCTTTATTTTGGGGCTGTGTAAAACATTAAGTGATCAGAGTTAGATCTACCCAGAAGTATCTTCAGGAAATCATCGCTTCCCTCCCAGGCCTCTGCCCTGCTCCTAGCCATTCTCCGTAAGTAGCTTCTCTTTTTGCTTTTCCCTTTCTGTGTTCAAGTGAGTACTGTTTTTTTATTTTTTTATTTTTTTATTTTTTGCCTTATATCCTCTTCTTTCTTATACAAATGATAACATACCATAGGTACTCTTTTGCACTTTGCTTTTTTCATTAAATACCATATTTTGGTAATTGTATTTCCAGTTTTTAAAAAATAATTATTTTACTTAATTTTGTTCATTGTTGTCTTTTTGTTTTTTAATTTTGCTGTAGGGTACATGCTAGAGAGAGAGAGAAGCGAGCCCCAAGGTCCAGAAGAACTGTGATCTGTCATATGGGAGTCTAGTACCTCAACCAGTACGCCACCTGCTGGTCCCTATTTGCAGTTTTGTTTTTAGTTTGCTGTGCCATGTGTGTTCTCACCTGGAGAGACAGAATTTACCTCGTGGGGGTGGTAGGAATGGCCACACCACAGTCCCTTCTCCATTCTCTTCTCCAGATTTTGGGCATACACACATATGCACCTGGCATGTTTTACAAGCCACTTACATTTGAGACTTGAACTGTACCATGTGGGATCCAGCTACTTAACCACCAGGCCACCTGCTGGCCTTATATTTCCGGTTTCTTGAAAAGAGATTTATGGTGTTTTATTGCGGGGTGGGGAAGGTTTGCTTGTAGGAGAGAAGCAAAGAGAGGGAAAGTGAGAAATCACCCCCAGGGGGATGACCTTGCTGTAGTCCCTTCTCCTCCAGTCTCCTCTTGGGACTTTAGTCATGCATTCACACACGCCTGGTGTGATTTTCAAGCTGCTGAGTCCAGTGTCTTAACCACCATGCCACCTGTTGGCCCCAAGACGTACAGTCTTTAAAAAGATAATTTGATAGTATTTTCCTCTTTTATAAGGCTGTGCTTACTGTCACTTCCCTGTCTTCAGTTATCATTTTTAATGTTTTATTATCCTCAGCAAGATTACCACTTATCAAAGTATAGTCCTTATATTTTGGAAGAAGTAGCTTGTTTGTTTTTATGTTTTTTGAAGAAGTATGATTATTACTGGAATAATCTGTTTTTCAGGTATCTTAATATCTATGTTGGACTTCCTGATGTTGAAGAAAGCTTCAATGTAACTAGACCAGTATCCCCTCATGAGGTAATTATAAACATTATTTATTTTTAAAATTTTTACTTATTATTTTAAAATTTGTTATAGAGCACGTGCAGGGAGAGAGAGAGAGAGAAAATGTGAGAGAGCAAGTTGCTAGATCTGGGAGTCAAACTGTGGTCAGCCATGTGAGAGTCTAGTGCCTTAACTACCATACCACCTGCTGGACCCTATAAACTTTATTTTAATTAGATTTATCTACTTTAACTCGAATAGGTCTGTCCTTAATACAGACTCTTAAAGGATGATTTATAAACAGGAAAAAAAATTACTTTGAGACAAAGATAACCAAAATAAACAAACATCTGTGTGCTCTACTATACTGTTGTAGGAAACAGTTCTGTACTGTTTAGCCATTTGAACCCAATTAGCTTGGTGTTACGTAACTTTCCTGTTTATGTCCTGTTCCTGAGGTTTTTAGCGGTCTTCTCACTACCGCCCTGCTGTTGTGCATCACATGGTTGCACGGTGTACTGTTCACTGCAGGAGTCACTCACCTGGCATGCTCTGTGAGGGCCAGCCAGGCACTGTGTTAGGCAGAAGAGACCAAAGTCCAGGAGCTCACATTCTAATAGAAACACACGAGAGGAAAATTGAAATACAAAGTTTTTTTTTTAATTATTTACTTAATTTTATTTATTATTGTTATTATTTTTAACTTGCAGTAAGGCACATGCATTCACCAGAGAGAGACAGAGAAAGTAAGAAAGCAAGCGACCAGGCCAGTGACTTGAAATGCTGTTGGCCATGTGGAAATCAAGTGCCTTAGCCACCATGCCACCTGCTGGCCTCCAAAATACAAGGGTTTTAACAAGCAACGGGTGATGCCTCAGAGGAAGATGGGCCTATTTACCGAGTTTTAATATTGGGACATCAGAAAGGTTACGGCGCATTTTTGCATAGAAAGACAGAAAAATACATTATGACTTTTCCAATGACCCATTAGATTATCTAGATTTCTCTTCAAATTCTTCCTGTTAGCGTCCACAATTGGAAATGAATCAAGAAAGAAGATGGTTACTCATGATAGAGCAATGGCTGTGTGCACAGAAGAGGGAGAGAGATTACAGGATCTGGTCACACTGATCCCCTCTCTCTAGTCCTCCAGCCTATCAGACCTTGGGTGCCCATGTGCCCGCCTGCTGTGTTTCAGGCTGGCCAGGCCAGGGATTTGAACCATGGTCACTATTGGGATCTGAGTGCTCTTCAGTAGTACATGATTGCTTTGCCATAGATCCTGCCCAAGAAAATGACTTTTGTAGATTCGTCTTGTTTATGTTAAAGTAAAGCTAAAATAACAATCAGGGAATGTAGCACGTGAGTTTTTATTAAAGAATAAGTAAGGGACCAGCAGGTGGCATGGTGGTTAAGGGCACTGGACTCCCATATGGCTGGCCACAGTTTGAGTACTGGACCTGGTGATTTGCTTTCTCACTTTCTGATTCTCTTGCTCTCTCCCACTTTGTCCTTCTCTGGTCAAATTAAACTAAATAAAATTAAATAAATAAAATTATTCCTTTAAAAAAAAAAGATATTAGAGTGTTCTAGTTATTGTCTAAGCAAGATTAAACAGGTCGTATGATCAAGTAACCAGATGTTCTATAGGTAAATTTTTGTGTTAACTACCGAATATTTAGTGATGAGAAAAAGAGTTAAGATACAGTATCCTTTTGCAAAGAATTTATAGTCTTGTGCAGATATTAAAATAACAAAATATAGGCCAGCAGGTGGCAAGGTGATTAAGACACTGGACTCCCACATAGCTGACCGCAGTTCAAGTCCTGGACCTGGTGCTTGCTTTCTCACTTTTCCTTTCTCTCTCTGGTCGAATTTTAAATAATAATAATAATAAACTAAATAAATCTTAAAAAGAAAACATTAACAAAATATGTGAAACAGAGAACCCAGGGTTGTAAACTTGAATGTTCATAGGACCAGGCAGTTAAGGTAAGTATGTGAAGTTGTATTGAACAGGGAATGATGAGTATGGGATATTGGAATGCATGTGCCCTTGTTTGGCCTCCCTTCCTCCCCAGTTCATTTTGCTAGACCTTTTTTTTTTTTTTTTTGTAAAGAATTATTTATTTATTTAATTACATTTGTTGTCATTGTTATTTTTATTTGACCAGAGAGAGAAAGAGAAAGCAAGCCGCCAGGTCCGGGACTCAAACCACAGTCGGCCATATGGGAATCCAGCACCCCAACCACCACACCCCCTGCTAGCCCCCACTTTTCTAGCTTTTTAAAAACTAGGCAGCCAATTGGCAATTTCCAGATTATCTTTTATATATGTTACTGAGTTCGGAGAAGGGCAAGAACAAAGTGTATTAGTTTGAAGTAGTTCAAGAAGGTTGAGACTATATTGTCATTCTAGCTGTTCTTTTTGAAACTGAAGAAAATGGGGGTATTATTGCAGTTTGGGGAGGCAGGCAAAGATTTCTTGGAGTGAGATCTGGGGAGTGGGAGAGCAGGTTGGGGGCAGTCATAGCAGGCCTGGCTGGGTGTTGGGCTTGCAGGAGACACCTGCCCAGCCCCTCCCCTGTGACCAGAATAAACCTGATGGTGACTGAGGAGGCCCTTGAAGGTGGAGTGGAACCCTCATTTTTTTATTTTTAACCTTATCTGTCAAATTTTTATTTTTTATTTTTTAGGTTTGCAAATAGGGTGTATGCACTCACCAGAGACAGAGAAACAGGTAAAGGCAAAGTGAGAAATCACCTCCTAGTGAGGGGTGGCCGTGCTGCAATCCCTTCTCCTCTGGTTTCCTCTCAGGATTTTAGGCAGGCGTGTACACACATGTGCCCAGCATGACTTCCAAGCCACCCCGGTCCAGGACATGAACCACCGTTGGTCATGTGGGAGTCCAGCACCTGAACTGCTGTGCCACCTGCTGGCCTCACCACGTCTGTCAGTTTCATTTACATTTGATGGGATGAACTTGTTGAAGTCACTGAGTGCTTGCCTATCATGGGCATGGCATTAATATTATTAATAAAAAGAGATACTTACTATAGTACTCTGTACCAGGCACTATTCTAAAAATATATAATGATACTTTGGGTAATATTGGGTTGTCTATAAAGTCATGACACATTTTTACATAGGAAAACATAGAAAAATATGCTGTGTCTTTCTAGATAAACTAATAAAATGATCATTCTCATCCCCATTTTACATATGAGGAGATCGAGATCCAGAAAGTTTATTTAAAGCTTAAGTGGTAGGGCCAGAGTTTAAACACAGGTGATTGAGTCTGTACTCTTTATCACTATGTTGCCCTGCCTCTGATCTGGCCTGAAGAAGGAGGCTTGACTCAATTAAATTTTACTAGTCAATAAGAAGAATTGGTGATATTTTTATTTATTTATTTTTAAAAGAATTACTTTATTTAATTTTATTTACCCACTTATTTATTTAAATTTGGCCAGAGAGATAGAGTGAGAGAAAGTAAGAAAGCAAGCTGCCAGGTCTCAGACTCGAACTGCATTCGGACATGTGGGAGTCCAGTGCCCTTAACTGCCACACCACCTGCCAGCCCCTAGAATTGGTAATATTTATAACTCACAGACAATAGAGGCTAGAAGAAATTTAAGTCTGATTGTCTTTGTTTTAGCAGAAGCCAGAGCAGATTTGGCACCATGAACTATCTGGTTGATATTCAGATAAATCTCTCTTTGAATACTGCATGCCACCTGATGACCATCCATACGATAAGGAATTCATCCAAAGGTCTGGACAGGGTTTCCCATGTCTGATCATGCCCCGGCAGGGGTGTCACTTAGCTAGTCACTGCCTCACCAAACTATAGCACATCCCACCTGTTTTTTCATTACTATTATTATTTAAGAGAGATTTTTTGCTATAGGGCACGTATGCTTGCCGGAGAGACAGAAAGCAAAAAATCACCCCTCGGGGATGGCCATGCCACAGTCCTTTCTCCTCCATTCTCTTCTCAGAATTTTGGGCACACACACACACGCCTGGCATGAGTTTTAAGTCGCCGGGTCCAGGACTTGCACTGTAGTCACCTACATGGAGTCCAGCAACACCTGTTTTTAAAATCACACAACTTCTTCAGACATTGTTAGAGTGTTGTAATGAATGATTTGTGCTACAGCATATCACTAGGTAAGGAGATTTTGTCATGTAATTCAATGTATATTTGGAGAATTAAAGGAAGTATAGTTTAAATTTGCATGTGTATTCATATATACTTTAGTTATTACTAGTGGTCATTAACTGTTTTGAACAAACCCAGCCACATGGATTACCTTCTACAATGCCACTTTGCAAGGAGCAGTCTGATTGCTTTAAAGATACAGGAGCCGACTGGCCAGTGAAGAGAGCATCAGTGCCAGATTTCTCCTTCCAGCTTGGGCGGGCAGGGCCAGGGATACTGTGGCGATGTCTAGGTTGCTGCGAGGCTCCTTTTGTGGGGAAGGCAGGCTGATAACTGCCAGCGACCTAAGGCAGCACCTACAACAGCTCAGTGGAGGGGAGATCACAGTCCCGTGTAGGCCATGCTTCTGCTTGAGGTGGAGCTTTCCGAAGGAGTCGGGGCTCTTTACCAGAGAGGAGAAGCAGTGGCTGTCTGATTCTGTTTCAGTGCCGTCTGAGGGACATGACATACTCTGCCCCCATTACAGTGGATATCGAATACACCCGGGGCAGCCAGAGGATCATCCGCAATGCTTTACCCATTGGCAGGTGAGAGATGAAGTCCACATCTTACCCATTGCCTGGATTCCAGCCTTGTGACGCAACCTTGAGCAAGTTTCAAACCCATTTCCCCGTCTGAAAAGTGTGGGAAATAGTTCCTATTCTGTGGGATTATTTTAGAGATCCAACATGTCAGCACATGTAAAATACTCAGAGTAATGTCTAACACATGGCTGTGATTATTATTATTGATCGTTAATTGATTATTGATAAGTTCTTATTTATTATTTATAAATCTTTTCTATAAAGTAGTGGAAAAATGCCCCGTTTTCCCCCCTATACCTCCAAGCTGTGATGAAATACTAGGTAAGGTAACATTTCAGTGTAGTGTCCTGGGCTGGTTTTCTTGTGGATTCCATGTATATTTGAGTTTT